GAGAGAGAAAATTGTATAACCATCCTGCTGTTCCTTTAGTGCAATACAATAAAACTCTGAAATTAATTATTAAATTGGGTTGTGCAGTAAATTATTAAAAATTAATCATTTTGCATTGTCTTAAAGATTACACATAGCTATTTCTCACACTTGCTTAATCCACAATAAAGACATGGTACTGTGTGTTTTCCTTTTTAGAGAATTATTACATTGTGGTTTTATCATGCCTAGATCTAAAAAGGGTTTTTAGATGTAGCTCGTACCCTTATCATTGGAGGAGATTGGTAACTGTTGATGGCATAGCGCCGTTATTTCCCTTACCAGTTAAAAAATGATGATGGCATGTAAAATGTTTTAAATTTTATTTTCCTTTTTTTTTTTTTAAGAGTGTTTTCTTTTTTGACCGCTGGTTTTAAGGTAAAGTGACTTTCACTCGTGCTCGTGAGGCAGGTATGTTGTAGTGTGCATGTTTGCTGAGCATGCTGTGCTTTATTAGGGGTGAGGAAGCCCAGGTCATTGACAATAGTAAGTGGTTCAGAAGTTTCTCCAGCAAAAGATCAAAGAAGAAAAATGTGTAAAAGTCCCCATAATGATCGAGGGAATTTACAGATGTGTTTGTGGAAACGTTATTCTAAGAAGGTGTTGGGTTAGTTGTTTTTTATTCTTTACAAGTGAACAAATGCTTTGAAATCAGACTTCCCCACCTTTGGGAGAGGAGCTGTTCTTGCTTTGGGATTGGGTAACTCGGGTGAGTGCACCGAAGAAGAGAATGTCGAGCCAGAAGAGGGAAAAGAGTCAAACACTTCATTACAAGGAAAGACCTTGTCATCTATAGTCTGGGGAATAGTGGGGGAACTGGTTGTTCCTCGAGTTGTGCAGTAAATTACTCACTGAGCACTTGCTAGGCATGAAGCTCATGTTTTGCGTTCAGTCAGTTCTAATCCATCTCATTGCATCTGCAGCCACTCCCATTTCCTTCCTTGTTCACAGGTAATTTTGGCCCCAAGAGACCTGACCAAGTCTACAATCCACAGAGGTATCCTGGGACTATTATTGTAGTAATCCTTTCAAAAGTATTTTTATGAACACTCACTCTATTAGCAAGTGCCAGTGTGCTAAGTCAGTACACAGCCTTTCCCTCTATTCTAGAATCTTCTCAAGGATTAATTCAACATGTTAGCAGTTAGAAGCCACATTCTCACGCTTCTAAAAGTCATCCCTAGCTGATTCCTCAGTTCCCAGCAATCACCGACACGTTCACCCATCTCACTGGTAGGCTGTTAACTCCTGGCTGTGATCGGGATCAGATTTGAGTACCTGGATGCTTTCATACTGTGCCTACCCACTCTTGCTTTTCAGTGTTTTATGAAATTAGATCACTTACCAGGAGGAAGCAAAAACAAAATATTTGCATTTGACCGTATTCCACTGGCTCTTTTCTTTGCTTTGAATTTAATTTGTCCCTCATGTGAATCTGTTGGGGATAGCACTGGCCTGCCTTCTGTTAGCCCTGTAGGTTCAGCTGAGGTGTAGTTAGCCTGGGTTTCTAATCTTTCCCAGCTTATGTGGGCGCTCACAGTGCAGCGACAGCTGTTTGTGTAAGCAGCTCTTTCCTTGTTATGGTTACTTTTGATGTTATGCGCTTCATTTCATCTCTAAGCTCTCCAGCTCTCAGAAACCATTTTCCTCCTTTGTGCCTGTCTTACTACATCTAACGTCACACTCTACTTGTATCTGTACCAACGACACTTTGTTGGATCCTACAGATTCTCCTGCATTTTAAATCTTGTATAGTAAACGTAGTCCGTCTAGCAGTTACTTTGTGGAGTAAATCTGTATCATGGCATTAGGCCCGGTTAGTTCTGAGGAGATAGATGTAGGCATAGAAACTGTTGAATACCTGTATGTTAATGTTATTGATGATTTGATAGTTGTCACAATGCTCTACACTCCCCACTCCCACTTCCAGGGTAGAGGGGGGTTTGGTTTTAAGGTACAGATAAACTGCTAATTTGTTTAAAGTTTGGGTTTAACATAAAGGGAAGTATAGGAAGTGCCCAGATAATGCACTTTTGACATATATTTGTATTTCAGCAAAGCATTAGTGAATCTTCACCTATTAAGCCATGAACTAGTCAGGTTCAGGTCCCTGGATAATGGCTGCTCACAAGGCAGCACAGTACGTGGTGGTCAGTGGCACGTGACTTTCTGAAAGCCCATGCCCTGTTTCTCAGCTTGAGCATCACGCATGCTAAGAGTTGACACAGAGCTCTTTGCTCCCAGAATCAACATATGTTGAAGGTCTGATACTTGGACAGAAAGGAAGTAAAGCTGTACGTGCTTGGAAACTGGCAAAACACTTTCCTTTATGTAAGGCTTGGCCTTCATAGGGTTCAGAGAATATTACTGCCTCAGAGCAACTGATGACTTCTAGGCATCTTTCTACCCTCGGGCTGAGCTTGCTTTTCAGGTGTGGATCTATCATAGCACTCTGCTATATCAAGCCCACATAGGGATCTGTACTAAAAGGTGAACATCCAGTGATAGCACTTAACATCCACGAATCTGCATCTCAGTAATCTGCTGTATAACTGTAAGTTAGAAATTGTGATGACAAAAATATTTGAAAACAGTGGTCATTTTAGAGGGGGAAGAAAAATATTGATAATCTTGTCTAGTATTGTTCATAACAGTACTCATGTTCACACTTTTTGGAAACTATTAGTGTTATTCTCAAACAATTTTAAGCTCTTTTGCTCAGCCCAGTCATTGATCTGCAGCTAGACCAGCAGCTAAAGGTCTCCAGTACCAGGGATAAGTTTAGGAGATGGGTCTCTGCTCACATTCCAGAGTGATTCTATTTCTGAATATGCCAACTGGCTTTCTTATAACAATTTTACTTTGACTAAAATTCAGAGCTCTAAAGTAAGTGTCTGAAAGGAGTAAATAGTTTTACCATTTAAGATGACTGCTGGGAGGGAGTGGAGCAAGGGTTTTGTTCTCTGTTAATTTCACTAATGCACGTGGTAGAAGATGTCGCGAGCATCTTGACATGCAGAAGAGTGAATTGCTTCTCATATATGTTAATTTTATTGTACAATGCTTTTTTCTAAATATTTGCATTTCTTTGGTTGTCATGTTTATGAATCCTGGAGCAGACAAATTTCTTAAGTGGATTGATGATTAGGTAAAGCTTAAAAACAACTAAGAGAAACCTAAAATGTAGTTAGTACCTGTGCTCTTGGTTTGTTAAAATTTAAGCTTGATGGTGCTGTACCACTGTCCAAAGAAAATACCTTTAAGTAGCCTACTTTATTCCTTAGAGCTTGCTTAATTTTGCTTTTGTATCTTTAATAAAAACTGTCTCAAATATTTCCTCGTGTAGTTTATGGGTACTGACTGAATGTGTGTGTTAATGAGCAGAATTCCACATTGTCTCTGACTTCCTTAACCCCACTGGTTTGGGGGATATCACACAATTTAGGCAGAGAAAAGATTTTTCCTAGAAAGTTGGGATTCTGTGTTATTAAACTTAATTGGACAATTATGGTTCACTAGTAACAGTCACGTTTTTCTTATATGGAATAATTGATGTTTTCTGGTATACTTGGTATTAAAATAGTGTAGGATTTTGAATGCAGGCTTAGCACTTGCAATGGAAATCGAGAGATGCATGCCCTTTGAAAATTCAATTAGTAAAGGATTAACTTGTACCAATATTTTCCTTCTAAAGTATTCATGAATATACTCTGTACTTATATTGGGAGCAAGCTAATGTAAGATGTGCTAATGTCAGTTTCAGTGACTGTCTGGAGTTTAACAGATACTGTGATTTCAGGTTGTATTTGGTTGTAGTACCAAAATCGTGAAGAAGGCCAATCCATTATTGTAGCCCATGTGTTTAAAAACCAAAACTCTTGCTATAATTTTTGGCAATAATGTTAAAAAATTACATTATGGTAGGATACGTGATTCCCTCATCTTCCTGTTTTTCTAAAATCTTAAGTTCTAGAAGCAGTAGGTACAGGAAGGTATTAAAATACTGAGTTAATACTGCAGAACATACCTGTGAGCTGGTCTGAAGTCCCCAGACAGCGCTGGAGACAGTTCTGGAACATTCCCTCATGAAATTCAAGCAGTTCAGCAACAGCCAGAAGAGTTTTAGTCATCAGAGGAGTTCTTAAAACCTCAGTTCTGCTGTGTTGTCTGTCTGTGGTAAGTGCCTGTGACTGCAGGGTGTGGTAGCAGCCAGATGACCATTGGTCACCATTGGTCACCGTAGCCAAGAGAGCCATGAGACTACTGTGTGTGATACTGAAACCACTGCCATCTGTTAAAAAGGTGGCTTTGACTCATATGATCCTTGTTTGCAGCCCAAATGTAAACAAGGACTGCTTTGGGTACCTCAAAGTCAGATTTAAAGACAGTTTCAGTGGTCTAGAGTGAGGTGAAGGAGTGGGAGAACCGGAAGTTAAGCTGCAGCTAAGTATTTTATGGAATAAATGTGAAAGAAGGATTCAATTCATTCTGTGATTTTTAGGGTAGGAAAGTTAATGCCCTAAAACTGGAGCAGCTGTCTGAACCTTAGTGAATTCCTTATTTCTGAAGAAGTCCCAGCAGGTGCTGGGGAAATATCTACTGGGACTCATCCACTGCTGGGAGGGAAGGGACCAAAAGATTCAGGATCCCTTAGGATTCTGTAAGTCTAGGAAACAAAAACAATGGGAGAGTTTCAGGAGGAATGGAGGGGAAAGTTATTTAAAAGTAAGTATGGGTACTCTTGATACAAAAGCTTCATACTTATTACCATGTCATATGCCAGCTAGTAGTTTCCAGTGGTAATCTAGGCAAAAATAGGGTAAATAGTTAAGATATACAAGTACTTTTGTATTTTTTTGCAGTGTTAAGTCTAGGTTAAACATACCAGAATAGTGCGCTTTAAAAAGGAGAACTATACTAATTTTTCTGTCCCTCTGCCACAAGATGAAAGACACGGTAAATTTTGTCAATAAAAGCTTTAAAGTATCTGCACATATACATTCAAGTTGACAACACTAATAGCTTTGTATCAGAACAAGTTATGCCAGAGAACTCGTAAATTTCAGACATGGTCATATATATGCGATTTGAAATTCATCTCGACACAGATCTTGATAGTGAATCTCTTGATGATAGATACACATCTAGTTTGTCCCGGAACTCATGAAGATAATTATATTGCTGAAAAAGTAAAGATATATTTAAATAACATTGTATAACATTGTATAGTTTGTAGAGCAGAAACAACATTAGTAGGAATCAGGAATCATAAAAACATTTGCTAAGAATAATTCTACATCTTAGACGAAGACTCATTTGCAACTGGGGGAAGTTTTACCTGGCAATAAAGCTGCAAAGAGTCTGCAAAGCGATTGCTTTAAAAACCTCTAAATATCTGAAGGTAACTTGAAATACAGATCAATGTTTTATGAACCTGGAGGAACCCTTCTTCCTTCCTGGCAGGATCAAATAGGATAGCAAACATAGGGGCATTATTTTTGCTAGTATTTTTCTCTACAGAATAAGTAGGGGTGGGGCAGGAGCACTTCGTGCAGCAATTAACAGTGGCCTGTTCAAAAAATCTATAGGGGCCCTACTTTGCTTTTTGTGATGACATAGTCCATCTGGAATGATTTTCTTAAAAAAAAAAAAAATCCTTAAGCAAAATAAAAAGCTTTAAATACTTAATTTGGGATTTAAATAGTTTCCTAAAGGACATTTTCACTCTGCTGATCATCTCATTTCATATCTTCCCCGGGACACTGGAACTTGAATCAGCACAGAGATGCTTGAAGCCTGTTTTCCACAGGAGGTCGGGTGATGAGCTGACAGCTCACCCTGGTGTGGGCCTCATTGTTCAGGATGAAAGATGGAGAACACAGGCATGTTCATACTTCTGTCTGACCATGTGTTCTGTTTTGCATCAAAGAGAAGAAAACTTGAACTTCCCAAATTTGAAGCATCGTTTGATGTGAAGATAATCAGGCCTGGTACAGTGAGGTGGGCCTGTATATGGGCTGTTTGGTGAGTGACCTTATTTAAGCCCAACAGGTTGTTTGGTGACGTCATCTATTGTGCACCACAGTGGCTGAGGCTCCTGGCCCTTGGGAAAGTGGATGGGAGCCCACGGAGCTGCCCAAAGGTCAAGATTCTTTAGAATTCCATTCCTCTAGCGTCTCATCATAAAGCTGAGACAGGCTGCTTGGGAAAAGAAGGCAGGATCTTACTGCTAGATCTACAGATACAGTGAAATTTGCAGTCTTTTGGGTATACTGACTAATACAGAGTACGATCCTTCATATTACTACTGTAATGTTTCTCAGGGGTTAAGGGGAAGATAAATGTGGAAGGTGACCAGTTACCCACAGCAAAGGACAATTAGCACTGCTCTGAACTATGGTCAACGTTTCAATGATACAGTAGGATCATCTTTAGATGTTTTTGGCCAAAAATCTATCCAAAAAATGAACAAAAACTGAACAATAGTAAGTCTTGGAAGAATGAAGTGGAAAGTTTAAAGTTTTTCATTATTTTGTTTAAAATACTGTGGTCTTTTGCAGATACAAGGTGATGTAAACTAAATGTAAACCCAAAAATAAACAAGCGTGTTTGAATAATAGGGTGCTTAGGATTTTCGTGTGAATGCCATTTTGGTTGTGGTAGTACACTGTAGATGTGTGGAATAGGGTGTTTCCAACCACAACCACACAGGCAGGGCCAAGCTCCTCACCTTTATGGTCTGTATGGCTCCGGACCCTCGTACATCTTTCAGGGTGTCTATGGCTTGCTGTGGTGATACCGTGTCAGACAGGTATAGGAGGAGACAAGCAGCTACTAGGAACATACAGTAAAATAAAAACTAGTGAGAGGGCAGGACATTTGGTACTAAGCTTGTCTTGGTGCTGAGGAACCAGTATGGTGTAATTGTTCCAAATGAATTAAAAGACTCAGACCTTTTAGTGTGTGCATTTTGACACTTACATTGTGATCTGAAATGACCGGGGGTTGGAATTAAAGTTTAGCATGCTTCATTCTGGGGTTTTTTGTTTGTTTATTTTTTGAGATAGAAGTAACTCATATATAGTTCATCTATTTACTTTTTCAGTTTTTATTCACTTAAAGTGTACAATTAAGTGAATTTTAATGTATCCACAGATACGTACAACCATCACCACGGTCAATTTTACATTTTTGCCAAAAAGAAAGCCCTGTTCCCTTTGTTGTCACCCTTCCCTGTGACCCCAGTAATCTCTCCTCTAAGTGACCACTGATCTACTTTTTGTTGTCTCTGTACATTTGCAAATTCTAGACATTTCCTATAAATGGGATCATATACTATGTGGTCTTGTGTGGCTTCTTTCTCCTGTGTGTTCAAGGTTCATATTGTACCATGGGGAGTGGATATACCATGCTGGGTCCATCCACTCCTCAGCTGGTGGGCATTCAGACTGTTCCCACTCTGGCTACTGTGATTAATGGCTGCTGTAAACTCCTCCTGTCCAAGTCTGGGTGAACTGTTGTATTTCTTCGCGTGTATACCTAGGAGTGGAATTGCTGAGTCACATGATAATTCCAGTTCGCTCCTATGAACAGACTAATTTCCCAAGGCAGCTGCACCATTTTACACTCCTGCCAGTAGTGTGTGAGGAGGACTCTAATTTTATTTTATTTTTTAATTTTTTGGTACTGGGGATTGAACTCGGGACCTTGCGCTTGTGAGGCAGGTGGTAGAACTAAGGAGGACTATAATTTTGAGGCATCCTCACTGATACTTGTTATTTTCCTTTTTTCAAAAAATCATAACCATCCTGATTGAATGTCAAATGGTATCCACTGTGGCCCTGATTTGCATTTCTCTGATTACTGATTATGTTAAACATCTCTTTCATGTATTTATTGGCCACGTGTATATTTTGTTGGGAGAGATGTTTATTTAGATCATTTTGCCCAGTTTTTAAATTGGGTTGTGTTTTTATTCTGAGTTGTATTCTGGCTACAAGTTCTTCATCAAATATATGGTTTGGAAATATTTTTTCCCTTTCTGTGGGTTGTCTTCAATTTCGATAGTATCCTTTGAAACACAAAGGTTGTTAATTTTGATGCTGTTCAACACTAAAAGAAATAACTTACTCTAATAAGAGTTTTCATGAACTATTTTTGTTTTCCTTCACACATTTAAATAAAAAAAAAGTAAGTCATTAAATTTGGTATATATATATATATATATGTTGTCTATTTAGAAGTTATGCCAAATATAATACCTACACAGGGGGAACATTAGGAAAATAAGACTGCAGGTGCTAAGACTTATAAATGATGTACAGAATCCTCTAAAAAGCTGAAAATACCTTCCATTTCCATACAAGCTTTCTAGGGAACACCCACGTTTGAAAACCTTAAATCTTTTGAATCTTGGAAACTTATATTGTGTTTGTTTGTTTTTGGTACCGGGGATCGAACTCGGGTCCTTGCACTTGCACAGCAGTTGGCGAAACCACTGAGCTAAATCCCCGGCCCAGAAATTTGTAATGTGTTTTGTCACATTTTAATATAAAGTGAACATGGCCCAGAAAAAGGAGTTTGGCTATTTTGAGGTTAAAAAAAATTAATAATAAAAGTATATTTCTTACCAAGACAGGATCTCCCAAGTCCTCTATAACAGCTGAAAGGGAAATACAGTTTTGAAGTTTGTATATTTCATTCCATCCCAGGTTACAAATAAACACTTATTTTTTCTGCCTACCATTTATAACTCTTATGCTTATTAGTACAGTGCCTTGCACACAGACATTAATTGATTTAACCAAAAGCAAACTGTGCTTATTTATTTGATAGGAAGTATTCTGAACAGATCCAGGTAGACTGGATCTCTTTGAACCCCAGGATCTACATCTGAAAAATGCAGCATGTTACTAAATAGATAGAAATCAGGCTTTTTACTAACTGCCACTTTGATTCTTTTCCTCTTTTAGAAAAAATCTAGTGTTTACAGGACAGATGCTATCCACACTGTAACCCTTCAGTCAGCTCCTAAGAGTGTGCAGAAGTAGCAGATCAGAGGGGTTTAAAGCAGGAGCTGGAATCCTAGGTCTGTCCTTTGCTGGATGTGTGAGCTAGAAAACGGTGACAGCACCGTGCCTGCATCAGTGAGGATTCAGTGAGGCGGCATCTGTAAAGGGCACAGAGCCTGGCATAGAGTAAGAAGTAAATGAATGTTGGTTGCTGTCATCTACTGGTGTGAAGAAAGCAGTTTGCAAACATAGAGTCTCCAGAAAAAGGAGGGTCAACCTCAAAGCTGTGAGACTATATTTTTAGTCATTTTCAAAGATCCTAAAAACCAAATTACACCTAATTTGCATAGTGGTTGTACGAACCTAATTCAGTACTGGTGACTTATCATCAAGTACTGTAGTGTATGGAGGATAAAGCTATAGATAGTTATCACACTGTAGGATTCATGGACAAAATGGGGACTGACCCCTAGCGTTACTCTACAGAGTCCCTGTAAGCCTGTTCCAGAGAGATGATTCTATACACACACACACCGAGGTAGATCATTTTAGTGACTTTCTGCAAGATCAATGCTGTTTTACACTGAGGTACTTTCATCGTCTCTGATGAATTCCTACTCATCTTTCAAAACCCAGCTCAGTGTATTTCCTGAGCTGCCTCTGTGCCCGAAGGAGAGGTCTGTGATCTTCCTGCCTCTCCGTGTTGCATTCTTAGTAGCACGTTCCCCAAGGATGAGGACTGCCTCATTTTGTGGTCTGTATTCGGTACACAGTGGGTGACATGGGCCTGAAACCCCTCAAAAAGACCAGCTGAAGTCTTTAGCCCTTCAGGCACCTGTGAATGTGACCTTGTTTGTGAGTGTAACTAAGTTGAGATGAGCTAATGGGGCACTAATCCAATCTAGTATTTTCAGAGGAGGAAAGCTCCACATGAGACAGGCACAGTAAATTGTGCAATGGTAGAGGCAGGGATTGGAGTGCTGCAGCTGCGAGCCAAGGATTGATGGCCACGCCCCAGAGGCCTGGAAGAGGCCCGCGGATGGTTTGAGCTTAGAGAGCACAGCTTTGTTAACACCTCCATTTTGGACTTCTGGCCTCCAGAACATTTCTGTGTTTCTGTGTTGTAAGAGACCCAGTTTTCCTTTTTATTTTTTAAAATTTTTACTCTTTGGTACCAGGGATCGAACTCGGGACCTTGCATTCACGAAGCAGGTGGTGGAACCACTGAGCTAAATCCCTGGCCCTAGTTTGCCTTTTTAAAGGCAACAGAATGGACAGAAAATTACCTTTATCAAAAGGGTCACTTTGGACACCTTCAAAAGATCTAGAACAAGGAAAACTCTTAGCCATCTGATGCTTTATTTCATGGCAGCCTGAAACATTCAACATAGGCAAAGTGATCCATCCGTCTGTCCGTCTTGTTTGTATTTTGCCTGAATATCAGGGCTGCTAGAGTTTAAGTTCCACTAAACTGACCTAGTCTGTGGCTCTGGAAACCTCAGTAGAGGCTGCTTTCAAAAATTTATTTAGGGCTGGAGATTTAGCTCAGTGGCATCATGCCTGCCTTGCAAGCGCAAGGTCCAGAGTTCTATCCCTGGTACCAAAAAAAAAAAAAAAAACGAAAAATTATTTATAAAAAAAGAGAACTGTTTTGAAAAGTGGATCCCCAAACTGGAAAATATTTTCACTAGCTGCATCTAACATTATTTTGTCTACATATATTTATCAGAAAATTAAGCAAAGACAACTGAATCTATTCTGACATTTTGTCTTTACAGTTAGAACTAGAGGAGTGGGTATGCTTTGGGAAAGTTTGGAAACTATATTGCCAGTCCTGTAAGCTACAGTTCTTGTAGATCAGTTGAGCTTGGCCACAAACAGGTGTTCTGTTGTCAGAGACTCTTGTGCTGTGGGTTTGCCTTCAGAGCTTGCACTGGACGTGAGGTCCCTGGGCTGCAGGGTTAAGAGGAGAAGGGCAGGATTTGCCCTGTGTCTGTAGCTCTAGCTCAAAGCAGTGACTTGAGACACCTTTGGGGTTTTTGAGGTGTCCAACTATTTAGCACCCTACCCTGTTCCAGAAAAGAGTAAGTGGCTTATTAGGATGAGAAATGTCCAATAAGCCCAGCGAAGGAACAGTTTTCTCACTGTGGCTGGCTCGTTTGCCCTGCAGGTCGAACTTCCGGCAGAGCAGCTACTGTCATTGTCCACAGCGCTGCTCCTCATCTTTGTGACATGATGCTCTCCTACCTCTTGTCACTTCCTTCCACCTTTTCTCCAAGCTACTTCTCTCATTTTTTCCATTTCCTTAATCTATTTTGTTATACACAGAATTCTCTCCACCTCTTAGGTAGCGAGTGTCCCATCTCATTCTGGTAGCACATTCATGTCAAATACAATGTTTAAGTCATATTTTAAGATTGCTCATTGCTTAAGAATAATTGTTTTGCTGTAAATTTTGGAAAAAAATGAATTTTCTTGCTATTGAAAGCAAATACAGTAAACTATTAATACGCTAGCCAATGAGTGAGATGTTGTTATACAAAAAAAACATCGTTATACAAAAATAACATTAGGGGAGCATTCCCCAAATTGCAGCAAAAGGTCTCAGACAAAACTAAAGGAGAAAAGCTCCTATAACCTTATTTTAAAGATTTCCAAATCTACTTCTTTATTGCCCTGTTCTTGAAAAGTAGAACAGTAAATATCTGGGTGCTTACTCTGTGCTAGGCACTGGGCTAGTACTTTCCATGCATTCTGTTCTTTTAATCCTTGCAACCAAAATAGGAGGTTAATAACTGAGAAGTTCAAGCAATCATTTGGCCTGGGCTGTTTCCCATGTAGTGGATGGAGAAAAGGACACGTACTGTATTATGGTTTTCCGGTTATTTCTGAGGCAGATTGCAAGCTCCTCCATTATTTCCCAGCAGCTGGCTATGTCGGGCGCCTCTCCGTCTGGGATAGGGTGATGGTGAGCGATAATTCCACACTGCTGGTAGGAATCCAGAAGGTTTGGGACTCTATATTTGGATAGTTCCCCTCTGGTACAGAAAACAAATATGTCCTGGATACCATAGCTCTTCAGTTCTTCTGGCAACGGCCAAGATACACACAGACACACACACATACAGAACATTACAAATTTAAATAGAGTCAAGAGGGAGAATATGAAGTTTCTTAAACCAAACTAATAATAAGTGAATTCATAGATTTGAAACGCCTATTTATGGGCGGGGGATTTAGCTCAGTGGTTCCACCGCCTGCCTCGCAAGCACAAGGTCCCGAGTTTGATCCACGGTAGCAAAAAAAGAAAAAAAGAATAGTCAGAAATGCTTATTTATATATAACAGCAGAACCAGAAGGTGATTAGAATTAAACCAGATTGATTTCTAAATCAAAATATTTTTTACTGAATTTCAAGATGAGTCAATTCTTTTGCTCTTCCTGCAGGAAAACAATTGTTTTTGCATAAATATTGCTTCAAAATAAATTTGAAAATACCAAATACTCAAAAATAAAAAGAGGGCTGCGGATTTAGCTCAGTGGCATAGCACCTGCCTGGCAAGTGTGAGGTCTTGAGTTCCAGCCCTGGTACCAAAAAAATAAAAATAAAATAAAGTAAAAAATAAAAATAAAAATAAGCCCTTGGGCTGGGCGCAGTGGCCTGTAATCCCAGCTACTTGGAAGGCTGAGACAGGAGGACTGCAGGTTTGAGGCCAATTTGGGCAATTTAGTGAGACTCTATCTCAAAAATAAAAGGGGTTGGGGATGTAGCTGGATAGTAAAGTGCTTGCCTAGCGTGGGTTCAGTTACCAGTACCACAACAAACAAAACTCACACCACATCACCCTAACAATTCTTGAGGAGGAACGAGAGAACATTTTCTTTTTCTCGTATACTTCATCACTTTACTGTTTTTTTTTTCTTTGTTTTGTTTTTTGGTACCAGGGATCAAACTCGGGACCTTGCACTTGCAAGGCAGGCGGCAGCACCACTGAGCTAAATCCCTGGCCCTCACTTTACTGTTTTACTGTAAGCCTCATATATAAAATCTCCAGTTATAGCTCGTGTTCGCCCTCATATCTACACTGTACCACACACCATTGTGCATTTAATCTTATGGAGTAGGACTAGGTCCCTAGAAAATAAAGTACTACCTGTATCAAACTTACATTATGTAGCTATTTTTACTATAGTGATATGAACTGAGAAACATTACTATAAGAACTGTATACACTTGGGAGGGCTGGGGATTTAGCTCAGTGGTTCTGGCGCCTGCCTCGCAAGCACGAGGTCGTGAGTTCGATCCCCGGTACCAAAAAAAAAAAAAAAAAAGAATTGTATACACTTGGGCTGGGGATTTAGCTCAGTGGTTCCATTGCCTGCTGTGCAAGTGCAAGGACCTGAGTTTGATCCCCGGTACCAAAAAAAAAAAAAATTTGCTTAATACTTAAAAGCTGGTAGAATAATATTTAGGATTTATTAAAGGAAAATTTAACATGGAATTAAGATTCCTGAATATTTTTAAAAGAGCAGGTAGTCCTCTGTTTGCCTTTTGCACACTTTGGATAATTTCTCCTATCCAGAGTAAAGGCTGGTTGTCACATGTTTCCTAGAAATGACTCAGAGTCGTACCATAGAAACTGTTGAAGGGAGAGTTTAGGACTTCCCCCAATAGATCTTTCTGTCTGTTTATATACTGGATTCCATTTAATATTTTATTGCAAAACAAGGCTGAGGCAGGAGGGTTGCTGCGAGTTTGAGGTCAGCCTGAACTACATAGTGAGACCCTGTCTCAAAAACAAAACAGACAACAAAAAAAGAGCTTTGCATAAAAAAATCTGGAAATACCTTCTATACAAGATACTAAATAAACAGGGCATTCCAAACCGTCCAAGATTGGTCTTGAGCCAGTGATTCAAGTTATATTTTGTTTATGACTTAAACGTTACCCAAATGGAAATTTCCTACTGTAGTGGGTGTGTCTAAAGCAAAATATCTTTATGAGTATACTGCAAGGGTCAACTCATCTGTTAGCTTCTTTAAGTCTTTTTTGCTAGGTAAGTAATAAAGCACATTACATATTTTTATTTTCTGTATTACAAGTATATTAGTAGGACTAGTAGGCTTGAGATAGTGTAGGCCAAGCAGAATAAATTATTGTGAAAATTCACTCTTGTTAGTGATAACATGCTACCTGCGTGTCAAAATCAGGAAACTGGAGGCAGCAGTGGTCGCAACCCCTCAGGATGGAAGGCTAGTTCCCACCCTGCCTTTCCCACCAGGATGCTGGCTTTCTGTATTTTCTCCCCAAGATGGACAATTTCCCTGCGGCCTCTGGGTTCTCAGCCCACGGTTCATTTCTATGACTGTGCAGGGAACAGCACATTTAAAGTTCCGGGTAGTGTGAAATCTGTTTTATTTAGATACTTTTTCCCCCTACACATTCTAACTTCAATATAATACTCAGTAAAAAGCAAGGCCATGTTTAAGTAAATGATGAGTTCTCTGTGTCCTTCACAAATACTTACTTACACATTAAAAGAAGTTTATAGTTTGAAACCTCATAAAATCATGAGCATTTATTTTATATATTAAGAAGAGACTATAAGTTTGTTCCTTTTAACAATGAGATTTCAGTTTGTTTTTCAAAAAACTATTTGTATGATGGTTGTCTCATAGTACACCTACCTGTATCTTTTTGAATATTTCTTCTAACATCTTTAAATTTGCAACCTATACATAATAATAAGGTGAAGTAAAAAGTCAGTATTTTGTCATTTATGACAGGCATATTTAGATACTTGTATAGCTTCTTTAGAAAGTCATTCCACATGGTTATGTATTTGTTTCAACTCCATTTTAATATGAATTTTATTTTCTTAGATTCTTTTTTTGGTACCAGGGGTCAAACTCGGGACCTTGCACTTTCGAGGGAGGCGGTGGAACCACTGAGCTAAAATCCCCAGCCCTCTTTCTTAGATTCTTAGGAACATAATTATAGAGATCCATAGATCCCTGCTGAAGGAACCACTCATCCAGGACTTTGCTTTGTGTGTTTCTGTAACACGAACTTGACTGTAGTCTTCATAGTCTTCAGAGTCACTGGTACCTCAGGGTTTAAATTTTATTGAAATAGCTAAACCATGTCTAGGGCCATACCACCCTGAATGCACCCAATCTCATCTGAAATATCAAAGTCAGAAACACAGAGCTCTGAATGCAGGTCTGGAAGGACTGAAGACTAGGTCTGCATTCCTTTACAGGAGCTCACTTTAAGTGAGTTTCCCGCTACTGGTCTAGGGACTTCTCTTAGTGCACAGCACACAGAATAATGTGTCAGCTGACGGAAGCTGTCCTAAGTGTATGATAGGAGGCCCACTGCCGTGTTACCTACCTGGGAGAGCACATAAACCGAGAAACTGAGAGCAATTCACTCGTGACAGAGGTAGCCTGAAAGGAGAAATTTTCAAGGTTAGTTTTCGGTCACTTAAAAAATTATAAATGAAAACTCAGATTCAACTTAACCAGCATGAGCATGTGCCACCGAGTAGGAGTGTTTACAAAAGTCACAAGTCCAAAATTCGCAGTTAATGCCAATAGGTGGATCACAAAAAGGCCCAGAAATGCTAAAAGTTTTTAAACAGAGACTTATTTACTTCGTTACAAATTCAGGTGTTAAAACAGCAACTTAATTTAAATTTAGCTTAATAACACCAATGCCTGGATCACAACAGGAAGCACACAGTATACGGGAGCCATCCTGCTGTGTGTTTGCCTGAGATATTTAGTGTTACAGATTGAGTATCCCTTATAGGAAATGCTGGGGACCAGATGTGTTTCAGATTTTGGAGTTTTTGCCTTTGAAATATTTGCCTAGATATTACCAGTCTGAAATCCTGAATACCCTTAAACCCCAAACATTTTGAATGCCAAGTTGATGCTCCAAAATTTTGAATTTTGGAGTGCATCAAATTTCAGATGAGTGGGGAACACTCAACCTTCGGGAAATGAGCTGCAAAGTGACCATCTGACAATTTCATCTCTAGCACTCATTTACATTGCTAGTTTAAGGGGTTTTTTTTGGTAGGGATACCTTAATAGATAGCATTTCATACAGTGAAAACCACAGGCTATTCACTTTCATCATAAAGGATTTTGATTAAAATGAAATAATGTCAAGAAATCACATTCCCAGTTTGCAGTACTCGGGGACAGGCCCACCTTGTCTGCTAGTCAGGAGGTAAAAGTAGAATAGAACTGGAGGCATCACACAAAGGGTATCTGACGTTGGAAACTAGATGAGCTTTTGAGTTTATACAGGGGCTTAAAGGAGAAAATGAAAAGTAACGCTGGAAGTAGACTATAGGCAGAAACTCTTTGGTTTTATCACATCCAAGTGACTTTTATCTTAAAGTCTGCTGATAGAGGCATTACTGTGGCAAATAGTTATAAGTATTATCTAGGATTTAATAAAAATGATTAAATAACTCAATATCTCATCCTATATTTGGTAAACTATTTTTGTCTTAAAGAGAAGTAGATTTTGGTGGGAGATCATTTCAAAATCTTACCTCTACTCCTTACTTAACTTGCTTCCATTATGATGTTCTCAAAAAAAAAAAGCTTTATTCTGTGTCAAGATATCCCTTAAAGATTAGAGTTATATGCTCAGCAGAAGAGGTCATTTAATATTTTCAATATGCACCCTGTATTCTGCAGAGATTAAGACATAACATCAAATATCTTGGCTCATTGACCAAAAATGCTGACATACCATGAAATATGGATTGGAGTCTGTTCATCTTCAATAGGTTCTTCATCCGAGGAGTCAAACTCACTTGGCTGTATTGAAGTAAACTTAAAAAAAAAAGTTCTGTTACATAGCTATAAAAATATATACATATATAACTGTAAAAATGTATACATATGGGCCGGGGATTTAGCCCAGTGGTTCCGTCGCCTGCCTCGCAAGCGCAAGGACCTGAGTTCAATCCCTGGTACCAAAAAAACAAAAACAAAAACCAAAAATGTATACATATACTTTTAGCATAGCTAACCCTTGCTTAAACACCCACTGAATTCCTATTTGCAACTTATTCAGTTATCAATTTGGATAGCAATTTCAAAAATAAATGATTATCATTTACCATCCTATTAATAACTACACCAGTGCACAGTGGAAAGAGAGCTGGCCTGGGAACCATGAACTCCGGTTTCTGATCTTGGCTTTGATATAATCTCAGACATCCTGCTTTAGATCTCAGTTTTCCTCTACTATCAAGTGAGGAGATTTGTTTACCTGTTCACAACAGTGTTTAGTCTCATTTGCCAAGCTGTGAAGGTGCACAGCCCCCTTGCTGCAGAGTCAGTGTGTGTACTCATTGCAGGAGAAGGGTGTTTGTGTCAGAGTGGAAGCAGGAACATGTGCTGCCAAGCAGAGGTAGGAGGCACCGACTAGGTAGAAGCAGCAGAAGGCTGCATAGCAGAGATGCTGTGTTCTGGGTTCTGAACGAGTGGCAGGAGGCTTCTAGGCAGACGGGGAAGAAGCTAAGGCAACTGAGGCAAAAGAGAGCTTTTCTGTTCAGGAACTGTGATATCAAAGTACAGATGAAGCGGCAGAGACAAAGCTAGTAAAAGTTCTACTCGCCCCATCACTCAAACAAAACAAAAACAAAACCCATGCAGCTTGGCAGTTTGGGAGTGCAGGTGGACAGCCTGCCACCTACTTCGTGAATCACAGGACTAGAACAATGGAACATTGGAAATGGCCCTTCTTGGGTGGTGATCTGGGCAGTGGGGACTTAATCCTGGAGGTGGCATTTCTACATGAAGACTTCTGCACTCCCCGTTAGGATTTAAGGACCAAAACGAAAACACACCCTTTTCTTACTCCCTAGTTGGAACCAGCTGATAGGTAAGATCTTGGAATGGCAAATGCAGATCAAAATGCTAGTTTCATTTGTGTCAAATGGAGGATGTAGCTTAAGCGACGGCCAAGTCAAAGCGCCACTTCTTCACCCCAGATTCACACGGACGAAACCACCCAGTCACAGGCCTAGATGGACACCGAAGGCTCCCGTGTGACAGTGACCAGAAAGCGAGGACAAGTGGAGCAGGTGGCCTGGGTGAGGGACAGTTGGCGTCCTCCTCGCGGAAACGGGGATTCGCAAGTGTCGCTGACGCCCAGTGCCCTGCCTAGCCGGGAGGCTGTGTTCTACTGCGGTCCTGTTTGTCCCTGGAAGATTACGCGGCGAAGTCAGCGTAGGTGGTGGCTTTGAGCTGCTCGGGGTAACCTGTAGTGTTAGAGTCGACCGAACCCGACGGGGCGCTTTCAATGGCTGCGGAGACTGGGAGCAGGTAGAGGGGCCTCAGAATCTCGCCGGCCTGTTCGTCCTCTGAAGCAATTTTTATGGATCGAGATTTTAAGTTTGTGTGTCCCGTTCACGGTGCCTCTCCCGGCCAGGTGTGCTCGAGTCGTATCCGGCCGGACCTTCTGAACCCAGGGAAGCCCGAGCTCGGTGGCCTGGGGGTGGCGTCAGTCTGATGTCGCCTGCCAGCTGCGAGAGGGCGTTCGCACACTTGGTCGTCTCCAGGGGGCGCAGGGCAGCCCCAGGAGACAGCCCCGGGGACTGGGGTGTCACACAGGCTGCTATCCCGCCTAGGTCCTCTGTGCCTCAGTTTCCTCCTTGTCGCGGATCTCGTCCGGCACCGGTGCGGGAAGCGCCACCTCCCGGGCCCACAGAACGGTTACTGCGCGAGTCGGGTCGCGACCCGGTGCGGGCCACCAGCACCGCCCCAACACCGGGCTCCAAATCGCTCCTATCCCGGCGGTTCCGCTCCTGTCGGCCCCCGCCCGCCCGATTAGACTCACCGGCTTCATAGCTGGCTGCCGCCTCCTGGACCCGTGCAGCCTCCCCCCGCGGCTCCGCTGCTCCGCTGCTCCGCTGCTCCGCTGCTCCGCTGCCTCCCGGCTCCGAGCCCCCCTACGCCCGCAGCTCATTGGTGCATCTTTGGGAGGTGGGGAGCGGCGTCTTCCCAGGAGCCAATCAGAGCTTCGCCTTGTTTCTTACTCCGCCTCTGGGTTCCCTGACTCGGCCTTTAACCGTTCATTGGTTCTTAGAAGGCCTTTGAAAGACGCGCGGGAGGAGGACTCTGTAGAACGCTGATTGGCTGGAGGGCTTTCTCCTCTCGCCAATTAGGAGCTTGGAGGGCTCGCGGGGCGGGGGAGAGGGCGGGGAAAAGGGAGGGGAGAAAGCGTCTCCTAGCAGCCAACGCCCTTTGGGACGCTTTGATAGGCGCTTACTGGTACCAGGGCAGGGACATTTTGTTTGCTTTTCCTAAAGACTTATTTTTTAAGGGCATAGTGGTAGTGCGGAGCACTGCACTGGCGTGTTCACTTGAAAACGCATCCTGTACACTTTGTAATTACAGTCGTATCCAGTCATATAGACACTATGGTAAAGACTAAAAATCCAGCGTATAAACATATTTTATATGCTTAAGACTATGTTCTTTACCACTCTAAAATCTAAACAAGTTATCCCTATTCAAGGTCCTGGGCTTAGCCAGTGAAGTTCCACGAACCGTTTTAGAAAGACGGAAAGCCAGGTAATTTCCTCTGTAAGTTTCTGCATGAAACTTTCCATTCTGGCCCGAGACACAATGCAGGTGCACAGATCTGGCCAAAATAGCTCAAGCTTCCTAGGGGGAGGCAGTGCCACGGCAGAGCAGACGCCGGAAGTACAATCCCAGAGGGTTGTCTATGGCACCGTCAGAAACGGAACTTACAGTTGATAGAGCGGCCCATGCAGGACATAGGTTGAGCAAGCAGTGAGTAAAGCACCCCTCCCTCGGAGGGGCCGCCACCCTAGAACTCTCCGGTTCAAATAATCCTCCGTTCAGTCCTCGGTTTTTCAGGAAGTTTCGGAGACAGTCAGCTCTGAATAGTTTTGCTGGTCCATGACATCGCATGGGTGACATCTATTGTGACTGAGGCTCAAGAATCACTTTGTATTCTGAGCATCTGCAGCAGCTAGGAAAGACAGCACGGGAGTTCCCTCACCAAGACAGGGAAGCGTCCAGAAACAGTTCTCAAAGCTAAGGTCCTTAATGTCCTCCCCACCTCCTGCCTCTCCCTGTACCGTCTCAGGTTCCAGGGTTTGTTTTTTTGCCCTTACAAAAAACAGTGTTTCCCATTCAGTAGTCATTACCTTATGTTTTTCCTCCTAACCACTTGTTTTTCTTCATTGGGTCTTTTGTGTGAATGGTTATCTGAAAGGGGACAAAAATGTTTTCTATAATAAAACATTTTATGCCCCTTACCTAGAAAGGCACATCATGTTTGGAAATGAGTTAGGGTGGAACTCTGAATGTTCAGAAAGGTCCAACATGAATTTATTCAACACGAGCTTACATAACCTCTTACTTCTCTATCCTGATCATTTATCTAGTGCACAGCCTAGGAAAACACCAATCCCTCTCTGGAAACAGCTGCATTTAATAATTCAATGCCCACTAAGATGTGTGTACAAGAGAAAAGGTACAGGAGGGTAGAAGAGTCAGGCTGGCGATTCATTGCGGAAAACTGCAGCTAATGCAGAAAGCCAAGCACAAGTCAAAGGAAGTTAGATATTCCCAGAGTAGGGAAGAGTCTGATCTATCAGGAGTGGTGGAGAGGTCTGTCGCTGGTGTATGCCTTTCCCAGGGCGTAGCTTTTGGCTGCAAACATACAATCGGAATGCACTCAGTCTCTGTATCAGAAATGTAAAGCCAAGCAGCAGCTCAATTTCAGGAGGTCCTGTCAGAGTAAGCCCCCTTCCATGAGAATTGTGTGTGACCTACGTGGTCCAGCCAGCAGCCATGCTGTTTTTACAGTTTTTGTCCCCACCGAGGGCTGTCCCAGTCTGTACTGGTCTCCAGGGTGGAGTCCTATTCATGGAGCCCATGCCTGCTTCTAGTTCAGCGCAGCTCACGTGAGGCGGAAATTGCCTATCACAGACAGTATCAGGTTTTAGCTTGAAGTCTAAGGAACTAGGATCTGGGAATTCAAGATTTCAGAAAAAGGAAAAGGCTTTTCTTAGGCAGCAGCAAAGGGCCCCAAAATAGCTGTGTTCCAGGTCCAAGTGGCGAGGCTTTCCTAACTCCCTTTTGGCCTGTCAGCTCGATCTGACCCTTTCTAAAATATGTGCATCAAGCCAGAAAGTCAGTAGCCTCTGAAGGTTAGACATCTCACTTTGGGAGAGTTTTTACCAAACTAAAACTGCTCTTTAAAGTTCTAAAAGTATGTGTCCATCGGAGATGGCTTCTTTCTACATGTTCTCACCCATTTCCTTGCAGCTCCAGCAGGGAATAACAGTAAAGACCATTGGTGACAGAGGCTATTTTGCTTTCAGTGGTCAACCCACCCATTGAGCAAAAGGCAAGAACATTGTGCCCCAATAGCACTTTTTCTTTGTAACTTTCCTTGGTTGAGATGATGAGCATTTATGAAATTACAAGTATATAACATTTCACATCATTTTTTAACCATACATCCAGATGTTGTAGGCACAAAACAGCAAGCTATTTTTAAGAACTCTCTTTTTTCTTTCTGCAAACTTATTCTTCTGGCACCAAATTCAGCATCTGTTGGGGACCATAATGTGTAAATGGGGCTCTGGGGTCCAAGCCCAGTGGGTGCCTCACCCTGTGAACTGAGAGGCATGTGGAGAACTTCTTCCCCTCTCATGGTGGGAAGAGGCACAGAACTAGGAGGCCCTCAAGGCGAGATCACTTTTGTTGAGGATGCTGTGACCCATTGAAACAATGCAGTTGAAACAAAGCTACGCCCTGGTTCCCTATTAACCTGTTCCTTATTCTTCGAGTGTGCTTTGTTTCTCCTTTACTAGCCTGTTTGACCACCACTGCTGTTTCCATGACACCTTGACTACACCACCCACTTGTATTCACTTGCTAAATAAATATGGGTCAACCGAAGGGGGTCTTTCTTTGCCCCATCTGAGGCGCTGACCTCCTGGTCCCCTTGTACCTTCAAACTTATCTTTCTTTTTCTTTATCCCCCACCATATTCCTCTAAGCAGGCAATCAGAGGTCTTATCAAGCCCCGATAAGCATCTATGTGTTTAATACTGCAGCTGCCAGGCAAGATTCTGGCCGGATGAAAGGGGCATCTGGAGGGTAAGTGATCAGTACTGCAGCAGCTGTGTGTGGGGCCGAGGGGCTGGCTGGTTAGCTGGAGAATCCCTGGCCCCTTGGTCCATCTAAACTTTGCTCTAGCCCCAGAAACTGATTTGATATTTTCCTTCCCACTTGGAGGAAAGAGCAACACAAACTTTAACGTTTTTGACTTATCCAAAAACTCGCCTTTGGGTACTTTTGAGCCCTTTTCCCTCCCAACTGGAGGAGAGAACAAAAACCTAAAGTGTCACCTAAATGGCCATTTATTCACTCTAACTTTAGCCAGCATAACTAAAACCAACTGGGTGGCCCAAGGAGCCTGCTTTCCTGGGTTTGGAACTGTCAATCATTTAAAATCTCACAGGTAGGTTTCACAGCAGCCACAACTCCTGTTTAATACCCTGGGCAACTCCGTAGCCATCCAGCTTTATTTTTATTTTTTTTTAACTTTTGGTACCGGGGATCGAACTTGGGACCTTGCGCTTGTGAGGCAGGCAGCAGAACCACTGGGCTAAATCCCCGGCTCGCCATCCAGTTTTAAAAGCTTGTCGCCTCCTGCCTGTTTATTCTTCCTTTTCCCAAAGAATGCTTTTGTCCCACTTCAGTGAGTCAGGGCTGTTCTAACACATCCTACTTCTGACACTGATTACGTCAAGGGTTCCTAAGTCCACCTTCTGATTTGAAATTCTTTGGAATCAGCATGACTTAGTATATATTTGTATGTGTGTCTATGATTTATGAGAGTGAAAAGATATCAAGGAAAACTGGGAATGATAAAAGGTTCACAGCAAATTCTGGAGGAAGCTAGGTTCAAGCTCCCAAGGGGATTTACACAGGCTGCAGTCAGTTCTCCCAGCAATGACTGTAACAACACATGTGGGACACTGATATCAGAAACGCTCACGAGAGACTCAAAGACCAGGGGCTTTATTAGGGGTTGGTTTCATAGGCACCCTCTCCCTAATATGTATCAAAAATTCAGCCTTCCACAGGAAAGTAGATGTTTTGCATAAACATGTTGTTTGCACAAAAAGTTTAGGCCCATTGAGCTCTTCTCATCAGAGAATGGTGGAATTCTCCCCACATTCCACCTTGCAAGCAGACCTTTTTCTTTTTTTTGGTACCGGGGATCCAACTCGGGACCTTATGCTTGCGAGGCAGGCGGCGGAACCACTGAGCTAAATCTCCAGCCTGCAAGTAGACCTTTTTAAAGGATAACATGCAAACTAGACATGTTGACCTTTTTCTGCACAGGATGATATAGCCTAAGGCACACAATTTCTAGTTTAATCAGGCTTGTCCTCTTTCCTATATTGTGATGATTTGAAAAACACTTGGTGTAGTTCTCTTGTCTCAGGACATGCGGGAGACATTTGTGGAAAAATGCTTGAGTCTCCCAGCAAAGTTCAGCCCAAGTCAGCCAACAGCACTAACCAGGCTGGTACATGCAGAGCTCAGCTGAGATAAGAGGGGTGCACCTAAGCCCAGCCTAGATCCACTGACATTCAGCCAATCCTTAGCTGAGCTGTCCCTCTGTGAATAAGTATACTAAGCCACTGAGATTTGGGTGGCTTGTAGTATAGCATTTTTCTTTTTTTTGTGGCAGTAACTAAGTGATGAACTGATTTAATACTTTTACCAGCACTATGAGATAAATTGGCCTCTTTTAAGAGAGGAGGCAACTGAGAAGAGGGGAATTAAGATCCTGTTGTCCAAGATCTTCCAGCTTCTAGATAAAAGAGCAAGAATTTGACAGCAGAATCCTGGTTTTAGGGCTCTTATGTTTGACTCCAACTTTACACTGTCGGGTGGCTTCTGCTGGAACTCAAAGAAAGGCAAAGCCTGAGCTAAGAATAGGCACATCTGGAACAAAAGCAGCTGTGAGACTAGCAAGGTAGAAGGGAAAGAATCACATTACAGATGG